CTCATCCTTCCATGCCTCATCGCTAATGTTAGAGACCAAAAAGAAGGAAATCCGAAATGGTTGAATTTCTGATGACACAAAAGGCAGGTGCGTAAAACCGTGAATATCTGAATTTCAGAAATTAAAGGAGTACTGGTTAAATTCAAACTAATCAGTAAAATGTGTTATAATGAACCGTTCCACTACTCAAGATTAAAGTTTAGCCAACTACGATTTCGTTCACACTTTCACGTCTGTGTAAGTATCTCAAATTTGAGTTATTTCATGTTGAGTTGTGACGTTATTCAATCATTCCCACCTGTCCTAATATAAAATGTGTCCCAGGCATGACGTACACACAAGTGTATTACACCGTGGAGCATATTAAATGTAGTCTAGAGCGGTGACCTTGTGACAATTTTAACTACATTACAACCAAACATTACCCCGTTGGATTAAGATAGATATCTGTATTATAGCGTAGAATCAGCATGAAAAACCAAGGAAAATCAGATATAAGGAGGAGGGGGAGGGGGGGGGGTGCGAAATGCGATGTGACAGGGATACGATGTGACAGGGATACGATGACGTGCATGCCGACCCGTCAATGCCAAGGATGACGCCTCGTACCTTCAGGACGTACGGAGAAGATATTGACAGCGCCCACGTACATCACGTACAATTTATTGAAATCATACATGCTAGCATATAACTACGAATAACTCATATCTCATTTTGCATGTTTAAAACGACTCCACGTGATCCTGAAAGACCGATTCATATGCCACATGTAATTTGCGTAACGTTACCTGACTCACAAAGAACATGTCTTTCACTGTCTCAGAATATTGAACAAATAATTGAGGGTCTGAGACACAAAGAACGTATTTTTACGGTCCGAGACACATATATTATCTATTGAAGAGTCGGAGGCACAAAGAACATGTCTGAAACGGTCGGGAAAACACTGAGACCCCGGAAACCCATTGCTAACTGCTTAATGGTCTGACACAAAGAACATATCTTTAACGGTCTGAATGACAAAGTACATATGTCTGACGGTCTGAGACACAACAAACATTTCCTTTCATTTCTAAACAATTGTAAGTCATGTCGTTTTGTTGACAGTAAAATGTTCCGAGCGTTGATAGAAGCTAGTACGATAGAAAATCTGGGAACATAGCTAAAAAAATAGGAAGAGGATCACATGATTATTATTGAAATCCCAATACTAAGACAAAATCCTTCAGTTTGATTATAATGTGGTATGGACACTCATACACAGAAGAGGCTTAAGTTGGAAGTTAAACATAGCAAAATAAATGTTTTCGGTAGTTAGGTCAGTCGTATTGTAGTCGGTCGTTAGGTCAGTCGTATTGTAGTCGGTATTGAGGTCAGTCGTATTGTAGTCGGTATTGAGGTCAGTCGTATTGTAGTCGGTAGTTAGGTCAGTCGTATTGTAGTCAGTATTGAGGTCAGTCGTATTGTAGTCGGTATTGAGGTCACTCGTATTGTAGTCGGTAGTTAGGTCAGTCGTATCGTAGTCGGTAGTTAGGTCAGTCGTATTGTAGTCGGTAGTTAGGTCAGTCGTATTGTAGTCAGTAGTTAGGTTAGTCGTATTTTAGTCGGTAGGTAGGTCAGTCGTATTGTTGTCGGTCGTAAGGTCAGTCGTATTGTAGTCAGTAGTAATGTTAGTCGTATTGTAGTCGGTATTGATAGTTAGGTCAGTCGTATCGTAGTCGGTGGTTAGGTCAGTCGTATTGTAGTCGTTAGTTAGGTCAGTCGTATTGTAGTCAGTAGTAAGGTTAGTCGTATTTTAGTCGGTAGTTAGGTCAGTCGTATTGTTGTCGGTAGTTAGGTCAGTCGTATTGTAGTCAGTAGTAAGGTTAGTCGTATTTTAGTCGGTAGTTAGGTCAGTCGTATTGTAGTCAGTAGTAAGGTCAGTCGTATTTTAGTCGGTAGTTAGGTCAGTCGTATTGTAGTCGGTAGTAAGGTTAGTCGTATTTTAGTCGGTAGTTAGGTAAGTCGTATTGTTGTCGGTAGTTAGGTCAGTCGTATTGTAGTCGGTAGTGAGGTCAGTCGTATTGTAGTCGGTATTGAGGTCGGTCGTATTGTAGTCGGTAGTTAGGTCAGTCGTATTATAGTCGGTTGTTGGGTCAGTCGTATTGTAGTCGGTATTGAGGTTAGTCGTATTGTAGTCGGTAGTAAAATCAGTCTTATTATAGTCGGTAGTTAGGTCAGTCGTATTGTAGTCAGTAGTTGGGTCACTCGTATTGTAGTCGGTAGGTGGGTCAGTCGTATTGTTGTCGGTAGTAGGGTCAGTCGTATTGTAGGCGGTAGTAAGGTTAGGCGTATTTTAGTCGGTTGTAGGGTTTGTCGTATTGTAGTCGGTATTTAGGTCAGTCGTATTGGTATTGAGGTCAGTCTCGTATTGTAGTCGGAAGTTAGGTCAGTCGTGTTTTAGTCGGTAGTTAGGCCAGTCTTATTGTAGTCGGTAGGTAGGTCAGTCGTATTGTTGTCGGTAGTAGGGTCAGTCGTATTGTTGTCGGTAGAAAGGTCAGTCGTATTGTTGTCGGTAGTAGGGTCAGTCGTATTGTTGTCGGTAGTAAGGTCAGTCGTATTGTAGTCGGTAGTAAGGTTAGTCGTATTTTAGTCGGTAGTTAGGTCAGTCGTATTTTAGTCGGTAGTTATGTCAGTCGTATTATAGTCGGTATTGAGGTCAGTCGTATTGTAGTCGGAGTCGGTAGTAAGGTTAGTCGTATTTTAGTCGGTAGTTAGGTCAGTCGTATTGTAGTCGGTAGTAAAGTCAGTCTTATTATAGTCGGTAGTTGGGTCCCCCGTATTGTAGTCGGTAGTAAAGTCAGTCTTATTATAGTAGGTAGTTGGGTCACTCGTATTGTAGTCGGTAGTAAAGTCAGTCTTATTATAGTCGGTAGTTGGGTCCCCCGTATTGTAGTCGGTAGTAAAGTCAGTCTTATTATAGTCGGTAGTTGGGTCCCCCGTATTGTAGTCGGTAGTAAAGTCAGTCTTATTATAGTCGGTAGTTGGGTCTCTCGTATTGTAGTCGGTAGTAAAGTCAGTCTTATTATAGTCGGTAGTTGGGTCCCCCGTATTGTAGTCGGTAGTAAAGTCAGTCTTATTATAGTCGGTAGTTGGGACAGTCGTATTGTAGTCGGTTGTTGGGTCAGTCGTATTGTAGTCGGTAGTTAGGTCAGTCGTATTGTAGTCGGTAGTAAAGTCAGTCTTATTATAGTCGGTAGTTGGGTCACTCGTATTGTAGTCGGTAGTAAAGTCAGTCTTATTATAGTCGGTAGTTGGGTCACCCGTATTGTAGTCGGTAGTTGGGTCACTTGTATTGTAGTCGGTAGTTAGGTCAGTCGTATTGTAGTCGGTAGTTAGGTCGGTCGTATTGTAGTTGGTATTGAGGTCACTCGTATTGTAGTCGGTAGTTGGGTTAGTCGGATTGTAGTTGGTATTGAGGTGAGTCGTATTGTAATCGGTAGTTGGGTCAGTCTTATTGTAGTTGGTATTGAGGTCAGTCGTATTGTAGTCGGTAGTTAGGTTAGTCGTACTGTAGTTGGTAGTTAGGTCAGTCGTATTGTAGTCGGTAGTTATGTCAGTCGTATTGTAGTCGGTATTGAGGTCAGTCGTATTGTAGTAGGTATTGAGGTCAGTCGTATTGTAGTCGGTAGTTAGGTTAGTCGTACTGTAGTTGGTAGTTAGGTCAGTCGTATTGTAGTCGGTATTGAGGTCAGTCGTATTGTAGTCAGTAGTTATGTCAGTTGTATTGTAGCCGGTAGTTCGGTCAGTCGTATTGTAGTCGGTATTGAGGTCAGTCGTATTGTAGTCGGTAGTTAGGTCAGTCGTACTGTAGTCGGTAGTTAGGTTAATCGTATTGTAGTCGGTATCGAGGTCAGTCGTATTGTAGTCGGTAGTTAGGTCAGTCGTATTATAGTCGGTATTGAGGTCAGTCGTACTTTCGTCGGTATTGAGGTCAGTCGTATTGTAGTCGGTAGTGAGGTCAGTCGTATTGTAGTCGGTATTTAGGTCAGTCGTATTGTAGTCGGTAGTTAGGTCAGTCTTATTATAGTCGGTAGTTAGGTCACTCGTATTGTAGCTGACATTGAGGTCAGTCGTACTGTAGTCGGTATTGAGGTCAGTCGTTTTGTAGTCGGTAGTTAGGTCAGTCGTATTATAGTCGGTATTGAGGTCAGTCGTACTGTGGTCGGTATTGAGGTCAGTCGTATTGTAGTCGGAAGTTAGGTAAGTCGTATTATAGTCGGCATTGAGGTCAGTCGTATTGTAGTCGGTATTGAGGACAGTCGTACTGTAGTCGGTATTGAGGTCAGTCGTATTATAGTCGGTATTGAGGTCAGTCGTACTTTGGTCGGTATTGAGGTCAGTCGTATTGTAGTCGGTATTGAGGTCAGTCGTATTATAGTCGGTTGTTGGGTCAGTCGTATTGTAGTCGGTAGTTAGGTCATTCGTATTATAGTCGGCATTGAGGTCAGTCGTATTGTAATCGGTATTGAGGTCAGTCGTATTGTAGTTGGTATTGAGGTAAGTCGTACTGTAGTCGGTATTGATGTCAGTCGTATTGTAGTCGGTAGTTAGGTCATTCGTATTATAGTCGGCATTGAGGTCAGACGTATTGTAGTCAGAAGTTAGGTGAGGCGTATAGTAGTGGGCATTGAGGTCAGTCGTATTGAAGTTGGTATTGAGGTCAGTCGTATTGTTGTCGGTATTGAGGTCAGTCGTACTTTCGTCGGTATTGAGGTCAGTCGTATTGTAGTTGGTATTGAGGTAAGTCGTACTGTAGTCGGTATTGATGTCAGTCGTATTGTAGTCGGTAGTTTGGTCAGTCGTATTATAGTCGGTATTGTGGTCAGTCGTACTGTAGTCGGGATTGAGGTCAGTCGTTTTGTAGTCGCTATTGAGGTCAGTCGTATGGTAGTCGGTAGTTAGGTCAGTCGTATTATAGTCGTTATTGAGGTCAGTCGTATTGTAGTTGGTATTGAGGTCAGTCCTGTAATCGGTTTTGAGGTCAGTCGTATTATAGTCGGTATTGAGGTCAGTCGTTTTGTAGTCGGTATTGAGGTCAGTCGTATGGTAGTCGGTATTGAGGTCAGTCGTACTGTAGTCGGTATTTGGGTCAGTCGTATTGTAGTCGGTAGTTAGGTCAGTCGTATTGTAGTCGGTATTGAGGTCAGTCGTTTTGTAGTCGGTATTGAGGTCAGTCGTATGGTATTCGGTATTGAGGTCAGTCGTACTGTAGTCGGTATTGAGGTCAGTCGTTTTGTAGTCGGTATTGAGGTCAGTCGTATGGTAGTCGGTATTGAGGTCAGTCGTACTGTAGTCGGTATTGAGGTCAGTCGTATTGTAGTCGGTGTTCAGGTCAGTCGTATTGTAGTCGGTTTTGAGGTCAGTCGTATTGTAGTCGGTAGTTGGGTCAGTCGTATTATAGTAGGTATTGAGGTCAGTCGTATTGTAGTCGGTAGTTAGGTCAGTCTTATTATAGTCGGTAGTTAGGTCCCTCGTATTGTAGCTGGCATTGAGGTCAGTCGTACTGTAGTCGGAATTGAGGTCAGTCGTATTATAGTCGGTATTGTGGTCAGTCGTACTGTAGTCGGTATTGAGGACAGTCGTATTGTAGTCGGTATTGAGGTCAGTCGTACTGTAGTCGGTATTGAGGTCAGTCGTATTTTAGTCGGTATTGAGGTCAGTCGTATTGTAGTCTGTATTGAGGTCAGTCGTATTGTAGTCGGTATTGAGGTCAGTTGTATTATAGTCGGTAGTTAGGTCAGTCTTATTATAGTCGGTAGTTAGGTCACTCGTATTGTAGCTGGCATTGAGGTCAGTCGTACTGTAGTCGGAATTGAGGTCAGTCGTATTATAGTCGGTATTGTGGTCAGTCGTACTGTAGTCAGTATTAAGGTCAGTCGTATTGTAGTCGGTATTGAGGTCAGTCGTATTGTAGTCGGTAGTTATGTCAGTCGTATTGTAGTCGGTATTGAGGTCAGTCGTATCGTAGTCGGTATTGAGGTCAGTCGTATTGTAATCTGTATTTTGGTTAGTCGTATTGTAGTCGGTAGTTAGGTCAGTCGTATGATAGTCGGCATTGAGGTCAGTCGTATTGCAGTCGGTATTGAGGTCAGTCGTATTGTAATCTGTATTTTGGTTAGTCGTATTGTAGTCGGTAGTTAGGTCAGTCGTATTATAGTCGGCGTTGAGGTCAGTCGTATTGTAGTCGGTAATTGGGTCAGTCGTATTGTAGTCGGTAGTTGGGTCAGTCGGATTGTAGTCGGTATTGAGGTCAGTCGTGTTGTAGTCGGTATTGAGGTCAGTCGTATCGTAGTCGGTATTGAGGTCAGTCGTATTGTAGTCGGTAGTTAGGGCAGTCGTATTGTAGTCATTGACGTGTTTTTGTCGGACCCTAGTTCTACAACGGTCCTTAAATGTTACAATACGAACACAACAGTGACAAGTTGATATTGTCAAGATTATTCGATTATAATCTGTATTGTATCTGTCCGCTAGTGAACAGGATTGACATAGCTATTGACGGTTAATGCAATGCAGTTCTACAACCATTTTTCTCAGACAAAACATCGCAGCACTGAGTACTTAGTTTTTACCAATGATTCATATATCGCTTGACGTAACACATATTAATGATAGGATATGTCAATGTTATATCCTAATTTAAACCTTATATGTGCGATATGAAAATGGTTAAATAATACGTATTACATTATCTAACACAATACAGAAACATTCAACGATGAACAATTAACAGTTGGTGTGATATGCCATATGAAGCTTGTCATAACGCTAACAGAAGGACTCAGCATTGCAATATCTCATCCAATTACTTTTGCAACGTTTATAATTGATGATAATCATAGCGACAGTCAGCGTTTGTAAACCTAATAACAGATAGGCCTTATAGGATGCCAGTGGTGTGTAAAATATCACAAAACCTGCTGACTTTTAGTTTTAGTATATATATGCACTCACAACAGTTTTACATATAGAAAGTTAAGAAAGTTTAAGAAAAACGCTTCTCAGAATTCACGTTGGTATCATCCAAAATGACCGATTCTTATTTGAAACGTAACTCCCATTTTGCGCGACCCCAGAAAAATGACACAGAGGCAGGCTTGGCCTCCGAGCCAACGTGACGATCAATGAATTAGTATGGGAAGCTCTTGACGGAATTTAACAGATTATATCGATAGTGAAATCCGTCACATTTGGTGACGCTTATTACTCCTTCAAATAAATCTTACCGAGGCTCCCATTGGCTCCGGCTCCCACGCCTCGGGATTGGTACATCTTAAAGGCGCGTATAAAAGTCAGCACGAATTCTCGTCCGGACCACAGTGGGATAACTATACCTGGAACCGAATCCGGACTTACTAAAACGCCCACAGGTAAGTACGTAATTTTACTATTCCATTTTAACGGTTATACAAGAAAGGGACTTGACGTTTTCATTAAGCTAGTGATACATTACAGATAACTGTATCAAGTTTCGAAATCAGATACGTTTTTCTTTAATATTATTGAAGCAAGGGTGTGCACTTAATAGCGGTTGATCTGAATATTTTCCATACATTTTTTGATACATAACTTTGATAAAATGTTTCTTGTCATTTTAATCCTCAATGAAATAAAGTCAATGTTACTACAAATGAATTATCCCTACCTTTACATTTCAATAGTGTTGTATACACTTAGCACATAATACGATTATAATAGTTAAAACAGTAAGGAAAAGAATATTATAATAATCCCATTTTACAGTTTCATTTAGACATTATCTCCAGACAATCTGCTTCCAATTAGTCAAATGGAATACTGTCTTGTAGTTATGTCGGGTTTTAGGAGGTATAATCAATTGTGTCTTACTCGATCGCGAGGACACTCAGGTGTAGTGATGCCCGGTACGCACAGAGACATCTGTTTACTCCCTTTCCGGGGGAAATTCATTCGGCTATAACCCATTATCATTTCTGTTGCATACGAAGAAAAAGTTCAGAGTCAGTATGGTAAGAAATCAAAAACGATAACCCCTTAAGTGTGAAAATGTCGGAAATATATCGGATAAGTTTGAATAAATGATAGGTCAAACGCAAGCGTATGACCCTGAAAATGTACACATACATTATCTTCCGTTTTAAATTGGTCCCGGAAAATCCTTTGTATAAGCCTTGTTGGGTATTTTAAGTGTACCCTTTCACACCTACTCGTATACAAGTGATTACGACGGATGTATATAAGAGGGGTCCTTTAGGTACGCTCCTGTACTTAATTCCATCACTTCCGTAATCAGATCTCCATGGCCCTCCAACAGCACTGTGTTTGTAATGTAAAAAATACGAAAACTGGTGGACAATGTTTGATTTCTTTCTACTTGATTGATGGCGTTCCCTGTGTGACCGGGATCAATGAAATGATTTCTACTTTCAAGTTTCAATTATTATTGATGTGGTTATTGTATTATGCTTGCTTTAATAAATAGTGCGTTAGAGGAAAATACACGATTAATCAATCTGACCGATGTATTTACGATTACAAACACGTTAGGATCTACTGAAAGCTAGCTAGGACCTTGGTAGCACCTAACCACTTGTTATGTCACGTCTTCGGGTCGTCCTCTGTAGCGACCACAAAACTGTCTTTTTACCGCAGACGGAACTATTTACTGAAGGTTAGATGACGATTTTATTGTCATTCATAAATGGAACTGATATCCGAGAATTAGCTTCTTTCTCAGTGGAAGCTGTAGAGGGAGCGGTGGGCCATATTTCTCCAGACGGGAAACATATGGCTACACTTGATATGACTGACTCTTAAGTTCCCTAGATTTAGAACTGACAATTGGATACCTACGAATTAACTATACGATATCACTAGTGATAGGTTCAAAGGCATGTAAAGACCTTAGCTCATCATCAAATCACAATACGAGAAGGCAATACGGTCAAACCTGATCCATTTCTCTATTAAAAAGATCACATGTATTAAGAGACGACCACAATAAGCTCGTAACATGCAATAAGAGATGTAAGAAGAGACCACATATTTGGTATTTCTGAATACAGGCTTGACTGTGATTGTTCTAGTATCTTAATAGACATTTTACTATTTAAACAATAGTTTTGCTATTTGCCTGACAAATATGTATCGCGGATCTTTTTAACTTTCAATGATAGCAAACCTCGCATAGAACTTGTCCGTGGGGCTGCATACTACAAGACTAGAGGATCATTTAGCTATCCAATCAATAGCTGACATTTAATCACGTGATGTAATTAATGAAATAGTATGTCCCATTAACTGTGTATTACACTCGCTTGGTACTGAATCCTAATCGATTGTATTTCTAAGATCCGAGGCTACTGTCGATATCATAACCTCTGAGATATTGGATTCTTATGTTGAAGCGGAGTTACCATTAACTCTAGACTTAAGGATCTATGTTTAAATTGGTGAAATCGGTTGACATTTGTTTTCAAATTTGAAATTAAGAATTTTGATTTTAAAGAGCACATTAATGGTTAGACATAAGAAGTAACCAAAACAAAAGCTGTTATTTATAGCACCATTAAAGTATAAACAAAAGCTGTTATTTATAGCACCATTTAAGTATAAACAAAAGCTGTTATTTATAGCACCAATAAAATATAAACAAAAGCTGTTATTTATAGCACCATTAAAGTATAAACAAAAGCTGTTATTTATAGCACCATTTAAGTATAACCAAAAGCTGTTATTTATAGCACCAATAAAATATAAACAAAAGCTGTTATTTACAGCACCATTAAAGTATAAACAAAAGCTGTTATTTACAGCACCATTAAAGTATAAACAAAAGCTGTTATTTATAGCACCATTTAAGTATAAACAAAAGCTGTTATTTATAGCACCATTTAAGTATAAACAAAAGCTGTTATTTATACCACCATTAAAGTATAAACAAAAGCTGTTATTTATAGCGGCATTAAAGTATAAACAAAAGCTGTTATTTATAGCACCAATAAAATATAAACAAAAGCTGTTATTTATAGCACCATTAAAGGGTAAACAAAAGCTGTTATTTATAGCACCATTAAAGTATAAAAACAGAAGCTTTTATTTATAGCACCATTAAAGTATAAAAACAGAAGCTTTTATTTATAGCACCATTAAAGTATAAAAACAGAAGCTTTTATTTATAGCACCATTAAAGTATAAAAACAGAAGCTTTTATTTATAGCACCATTAAAGTATAAAAACAGAAGCTTTTATTTATAGCACCATTAAAGTATAAAAACAGAAGCTGTTATGTGTAGCACCATTAAAGTATAAACAAAAGCTGTTATTTATAGCATCATTAAAGTATAAAAAAACAAATCTCCACAAAAATACTCGTTTTAGTATAATGAAGTAGAAAAAATGGAACAAACAAGAGAAATCGAAACAAAAGCAGTTGTTTATAGCGTCATAACGTAGAAAAATGAAAAAAAAAGGTTACTGAAAAGGTTACTTAAAAGTATAAAGTGTCATCAAGTAAAATAAGAAGCAAAACTAGCATGAAGGAAAAGGGGCTATAAAACCATAAAATCAAAACAATTGTACTGCTTTGGGATGTATTACCATCATCACAGAAAGAAGACACAGCTTACTAATTTATGTAAAAAAGATATAGTTTACAAATCATGAACTTAGACACTTAAAGTTGTGCAAATATGTGCAGAGATAGTACGAATCCCTACCCGCTGATCACTAGCTCGCTAATAAGGCTACTCACTATACCTTACTTGTACGCAAGTCCAGCCTCTTAATATATTAAACAACATTTTTCTACGTTATGACTTTTTATGATGGTTAATTTTGGAGAGAAAAAAACAAATAATGGAAAAATATTTATATGTAATCTTTTATAGAGTTATGGTTAGTTGATTTAACAAGTTAACACTAAATTCTGATTATGTATTTATGACGTTTATTTAAAACAATATTATTTGATTGTCTGTCTGAATTAAGGCAAACTGTTTCCGAGACTGCAGGTGACTACAAACGTCCATGGGTTGTATAGGAGACATTAGCAAGTTGTTTGGCAGCCGCTGAGAGGTTTTCTAGTGCGATGGGGGCTCAATGAGATATTTACGTTTCTAGTGTGATGGGGGCTCAATGAGATATTTACGTTTCTAGTGTGATGGGGGCTCAATGAGATATTTACGTTTCTAGTGTGATGGGGGCTCAATGAGATATTTACGTTTCTAGTGTGATGGGGGCTCAATGAGATATTTACGTTTCTAGTGTGATGGGGGCTCAATGAGATATTTACGTTTCTAGTGTGATGGGGGCTCAATGAGATATTTACGTTTCTAGTGTGATGGGGGCTCAATGAGATATTTACGTTTCTAGTGTGATGGGGGCTCAATGAGATATTTACGTTTCTAGTGTGATGGGGGCTCAATGAGATATTTACGTTTCTAGTGTGATGGGGGCTCAATGAGATATTTACGTTTCTAGTGTGATGGGGGCTCAATGAGATATTTACGTTTCTAGTGTGATGGGGGTTCAATGAGATATTTACTCTTTCAATGTGATGGGATTTTCATGGGGTATGTACTTTTCTAATGGGATGGTGATTTCCTAGGGTATATCCTTTGTAATGTGATGGGAGTTTCATGGGGTATTTACTTTCCTTCAGCGATGGGAGTTTCATGGGGTATTTACTTTTGTAATGCGATTGGAGTTTCATGAGGTATTTACTTACCTTCAGCGATGGGGGTTCCATGAGGTATTTACTTTTGCAATGTGATGGGGTTTTCATGGGGTATGTTCTTTTCTAGTATGATAGGGGTTTCATGAGGTATGTTCTTTTCTAGTTTGATGGGAGTTTCATGGAGTATGTACTTTTCTAATATGATGGGAGGTTCATGTGTTGTTTTTTTTTGTAATGTGATAGGGGTTTCATGAGGTATGTACTTTTCTAATGTGATGTGAGTTTAATGAGGTATTCTTTTCTAATATGATAGTGTGATGGGAGTTTCAAGGGGTATTTACTTTTCTAATGTGATGGGAGTTTTATGTGGTATTTACTTTTCTAATGTGATGGGAGTTTTATGTGGTATTTACTTTTCTAATGATTACTGAAGGCGTGACAAGTAAGTTACATGGACACACTCATAGACAGACTGTTAGTCGTTTATTTACTTATTCGCAGGTAAAAGACGTTCATTATAACTCGTACATTATGTCTTATCAGCCATAATGAACACATATTTAGTAATTTGTGCATGCAACTTTCTTAGAGGATAAAGACATATTTTGTAAGCTGTACTATTTGTATTCCTCAGATATGATGAAGACATATTTACTAAGCTGTACCTGTACGGCGGTACTCCTCCTCGTTTGTGTAACAGACGCCAGATTCCTGGACGATGAAATGCCATCACGGTAAGCTTACACCCACACTTCGAAGTGGCATAGTTTGTTTGGGTACTTCCAATTTCCAATGTTATTGACATCCGAAGTCTGCATTAATATAATCATACAGAATGAAGCTTAAATTATTGTTATAAGAAGTTGTAAGGTGGTGATAACGCTGTTTTTTGATGGCGTCCTAAAACGACCATTGTGTTGACGCAATGGTGTCGCTCTTCATATATGCTAAATTATCGCAATATGCTTGTGCTGGTTTAGTATAAAATTGATCAAACTTATTCACAGAGCTCGCATATAATATCATAGAGAATTCCATGATGATACTATTTGAATAATTCCACTTACATTGACGCTTATTTAAGGTTATAATTTATCAAATACAAAGTGATCACTGCAGCTGTAAGGGCGATCTCATTGTAACAATAAAGATTGATTAAACATAGGATTGTGCTTATTGATTCTATTCAATATATGTTTTTATTCTTATTTGGGGATTTACGTAGATCGATATAAATATATATCTGCAGTGTATTGTAACAATATGTTTGTAAACAGTTTATTGTTCCTGTTACTGAATGTTCGTTACGTAGGTAGTAATTGTCAATTTCACAATGTGAAGACATGTGTATATAACTATAAGCAATATTGAAGTGTGGTAAAAGTAAACATACAGTTATCATTATGTAGGTGTGTACTATTTCCAGTGTATACAATGTTTATACAGCCGTTTATGTACATGCAGTGTATGAACAGTGTATGTACAGTGTGTATGCGAACAATGTACGTACATGTGTGTAAAATTCAAGATAGGATATCTTTTGTACCATGTATTCCTTATAATTGTTTATATGTTGATTTATGTTCTGTACAAACAAATTTTTAATCGAATAATGTTGGTAAAGAGGAAGTGAAGTCGGCATTCAATATGACGATTTTGACGTTTTAATGTCGTCACGTATCTGATAAATTGCTTACGCGAGAATATTTGATCAAGGATAATTTCGAAACAATCCAAATATATTGATCAGACAATGGTTAATATACTTGTCACATTCAAAATCAGTAATTTCGGATCGTGCCTCTATATGTTCGGCGTTCTTTGTCAGTATTTGTATGTGGTGTCCATGTGTGTTGTCGGTGTTTCAGTGTTAAACGCCAAATAGCAGACGCAAGAATGGCGGAAGTACTTGCCCTTCTAGAGCTAGAGAGGCGACTCCAGGGTTGTTCATCACTAGGGTGTGGTCTAATAGATCTCGAAAGGTAAATCCCTTCTCCCTTACCCAGGAAACCATGTCTGCTATACGCCGTGTTGAGGGTCTATCGGTTTACATTTTCGACAAAACTGAAAATGGTCTGTTTGACAACTTGAGAGTAACCCGGTTGATCTCTACCATTGATATAAGGTAATTATTGAAACTATTGTTACAGACACCATAGCACCAAGTCGAGGGATTGTTATAGGAAACTTACCGTTCTGTTCTGGATTACACTATTAAAGCTTATTCTTTTCAGCCTACATTGCCAATAACTTTCGTTATCAAGATTCTTTTCCCCAACGAACAAACAAAAACAATGGGCTACATCAGCTGATAAGACCGATGCCTTATCATCTAATTCTATTTTTTACCTGATACATGAAAGACATCTCCGGTTGTGATTTGTGTTGTTGCGATGTAATTGGAACCGGTGATACATTATTGACACACATTTTTGTCCTGTATATTCCGTTGTAAAAGCTCTAAATATTACAGATTATCTTCATATATACTTCGGGAGTGACACATTTCTTATCTCGACTAACCTTTCTCACGTGAACGAACCATTATATAATTAAACAAGACAAACAAGATATATAATACTCGGCCCCGTATCAGTAGGATCTATAATAGATAACGTAAATATTCCCACATGACACACACTTCTGAGGTCACCAGTCAGCTGGTAATGGTTTATTTAAATAATGCTCATCAATGTTATGTAGTGTGTGTTACATACGTAGTTAACTACAACCTGCCAAACCGAACAATCAACGTTTGCATACGTACATACATGATCAGAACAAAGAAAGTTAAGAATAACAAAATTTATATCTGCCAAAGTTCACCTACGCTACACTATTAGATAGTTTACAGAATAGAAAACTTTCTCTTAAATCCTATATGATATTACAACAAGTACAGAACATATCACAATACTGTAAACTCAAATAATCATTTTAATGGAAACGTTCAAGTGTTTTATAACTTCAAAGTTGCCAAGGTGCTTATAAATAGTTTTTTATAACTTTACTGGCGCTTGGATATGTTTTATTGCTTTACCGGAATTTATTCAATAGTTTTATTACTTTGCAGACCTTTGTAAAAATATTATGATAATATTGGAATTTTCAGTCCCTAAATGACTAAAAATTCCAATATTATCTTAATATTTTTTATATATGGTGCCAAAAATATTGTTTCTATTACAAAAATATTGTGAACTTGTGGTATCCCGATGGTTCCTGATTTGTCGTATGTAGCGGACATGGTGTATTGGAACAGCAGTTTTAACAGGCCGATCGTGGAGTTACATGCAGACTTTTGCGTATAATACAGGTTCAGCAAATGCCCGCATATCATGTTTCTGTGTTTCACTTTTCCACAGATTTTACAAGAGATCCTGGTCAGATCAAAGAATAGCGGAATTAAAAGCACAAATTGCTTTACAAGGCCGTCCTGACCTTGATCTAGGTCACGGACAGATTGATCCCTATAGGATGTAGGTAGCCCCGTGGTGGTGTGACAAACACCGTGTGCCGTCCATGTGTCATGACATTGTTGTCAGAATAGTGTAGAATTGTAACGCTTCCTCAAACATCGTCAGTCTAATGTAGTGGGTATTTCTGTGCTGGTTGACATGGCTTACATCTGTCTGTTAACAATACGAGATGGGCTTTATCTACCTCATGCTGACGTCCAGCTTCTCTCTTTATCATCTCTCACACATTCATGTCTTTAATAGGAATGCTCAGTCGGCGATATCAAATGGTATCTGATCTTTTCACAACAGTATTCCCTATTGTTTTTGTGCTATCGTCAGGTATGCAGCAACCTACGTTTGTCTCTTGTAAAGAAGGATTCATCCAGAATATCGTGATGTCGTCTTGTGATTGTCATGTTTCGCTGTTCGAATGTTTCTGACTATCTGAAATGACATTACACTAATTCTCAATAGTATGTGTGATGTATGCTAATGCTAAGCTGTTTTTGAACAAATTATGATTTCTGGTGGTCCTTATAATGTACGTATAAGTCAGCTGGTTTAACGAAATTGTTCCATCGCCTACGCAATTGAACTAAATCCTTCTGTGTTTTGTTTTCAAATGTTCTGGTGGTGCAGTCTTTAGTTGCTTACTTCTGGATTGAGTGTATCTGGAATGTATGCATGTGGCTCCCATTCTAGGCCTATCTGTTTGTAATACCAGGACTTTTGTTATACCCGGGAACTCTGTATGAGATACGATTCTGTAAATTAAACTGATTATATATCTTCGGAGGTTTTTTTTATATCAATGACAGCGGTTATTAAGTGTCTGGGGTAGATAGGTAGATAACCATCAACTCGTTAATCATGTTCAGCAAATATTTTGTTTGAAATATTAAAATATGTTGTTTATTTTTACAATGAAAGAAAACCAAATTAAACTTTTCAAACAACATATTTTTGTGAAATAAGATGATATTTCTTGATCGTGTTTTGCATCGGAAAGAAGATAATCTATAGTGTATCTAACGATGCCGTGTACATTTGACAAGCGAAGCGCTAATTTTGACCTTTGCATTTTTGCCTACCTACTACTTCAACAAACCTAGAGTACGCAACATATATCCTTAGTTCAGAGCTTCCTTTGCTTTTATAAAGCAACGATCCGACCTAGTTCAATCAAATGTTAATGATTTTCAAAACTTAATACTGTATTAACTTACACCTTCATCTCCCTATGTATATGATTTTCACTAAGGAAACTGTACGCTTGCTGTAAGTTGAGCTTGTATATAAAGATAGATTAATTTTCTTATTTCAGTGCAAGTAACGTATTTTTTCTATCATACGTAAAATAGCAAAGCTGTGTGATTTTGTTTTCAAGAGAGTCATTTTATGGGATATATCACATACCTCTGACCCTCAAAATTATTAAATCAAATAATATTTTTGACTTAAAAAATAAAATGATCAGCTGGAAAATTATATTTAGGATGAGAACCAAAACTTCAATCGAAATACGAAGAAATGACGCAACCTTTGTTTTTTTGGTAGTTGCAGAAAAAAATAAAAAAATAAAAAAATGAATGTAAACAATTTGCTCTATTCAAATAACTTGGTTATTTCAAAATGTGATATTTAACTTAGATATCAAACACTGGTAAAATAGAATAAGTAACTTAAACGTTCACTTAAACAAAATATTTGCTACAGTGATTTTGTAGCAAAGTTGGCCATATTCCTTAATATTCATTAAAGCTAAGTGTCTGTGTTTTGTATCTGAACTGTTTCATATCCCCTACTCTCATACGCTTCTGCTGTGGTAATTGTCTTCTGTTTGTGAAGTAATTTTATATTCACCTTTGACTGGTGAATGTGTTTTTGGTATTTGTCCAATCATTGGTGAGTTTGATCACAACAGGTTTGTGAATGTGTCTTTGGTTCTTGTCCTGTCGTCGGTGAGATTGACCACCTTTGATTGGTGAAAATGTTTTGGTATTTGTCCTGTCGTCGGTGAGTATTGTCACCGTTGACTGTTCGTGTATTTGTCTTTTCGTGAGTGAGTATTTTCCGATAGATATGTGACTATATCTGTATATAACAGATTGATCAAGAGAACGTCCTCCGATCAGAGGATCGCCGAGCTCATGGCGCTCATCGCCTTGTCACGTGGAGGAGGTGGTATGATAGGTCACGGTCGCATTGATCCCAACTACGTGTACGTATTAAGGTTATACGTACAAAGGTGTCGATGTTTTTTTTTCTCTAATTTTTCCCAATCCTACTTTACATCGCTACAGAGAGTCATATGTCTCCGCTTCTCTACTTTGTAGGCAATGTTCTACAGTTGTCGTCTATCTTTCTGCTGCCGAGCTGGTTTGCCTAATCACATTCAAAGGAGCAACAAGAGACCTTCACTCTAGCTATCCTCATATCTATCTTTACGCTGCGTCCAATTGTCTTCTAGTGCATCTATTGTTTGCGTATCTATTAATCAACATAAGTGGTTACTCTACTAAACTTCTATTCTAATTCCAAAACCTCTTGGTAGCAATGCTAGCATAAACGTTGTATTATCTGTTGTAATCCCGGCCCGCGATCTTGTTGCTTTATGAAAGTTGACAGACTGCTTGTCACGCTCAACTCTGATCAATAAATTCAAAGCCATCCGTCCTCTCTGGAGTATTTGCCACTTTAAATTTTACTGTTGATACATTTTATTTCAATTCAATTTTTTATGTTTCTTGCATTGAAAAGGTTAATTGTTTCCAATATCCAAATACATTATGAGCTCTGTGCATTATTTTTCTTACTTTCATCGACGTAACTTTGTAACATGAGATATTTTATACCTGTTGAATTATTCCGTATTGAACAAATAAATTGCCGGCCTTCTTGACGTTAACATTCATTGATATAATGATAACGACTTAAATTATTTATAAGCTTAGCATTCGTATATATTACTCCTGCCAATTTAACTTTGATTAACTAAAGACAATTTTTAATGGTGTTTCGTTTACAGTGGAAGAAAGAAAAGAGATGTATCAAGCTTACCAATTTTCAAAGGACAAAATGCACAGAGATTATTAAATAAAATTTTACGCCATTCTGCGGAGAAATTGTGATGAAATTGGGTAAGTAAGTTTTCTTACTTTTCATGAATGTAGCTTGATATCTTTCCTAGAAATATTCAATAGTTAGGACATGGGAGGACCTACTTGAATTCACAGTCTTTATAAATCCCGGTTAACGTTGAGCCAAGTAAATCTATATGTCTGATACACAACACAAAATAAATAGATTTGTTTTTAAATCTAGAAAGTAAGAAGAGAGTCATGTTGAATATTTGTGAACAGGACCTGTCAAACAGCTCAAACTAGACAAACTACGGTATCATCGGAAATTGGTTAGGGTATAATTACATTGCTGACATCCATGCGTTATTACATATTAGATTATGTTATTGTATGACGTGAATGCCACCGAAACATCCACGTGCGAGTCTGACATAAGATGGGAATGACGTTCTCAAGAGATGGCCAATTTACCAAACTTTATCATAGATGCAAATACATAGACCATCGTCGCAATAACGGTATTTTGCCGGCTTACCAGACAGTTTATGAACGATTTTGTAGTAAATTTACATATATTTGTACGGATATATAGACAACTGGAGCCCAGTCTACCTCGGGGGTATGTAAAATGTTGGGTTGATCAGTGTTCAGTTACCATCTAGAGTCTGGAAACGACAGGAAGTTCAGGAGGGGGATTCAACATCATACAGTAGTAAGAAAGCTTTCCGTAAATAACAAGGTTGAAGGTTCATGAAGCTAAGAAATTAAAACATTTTTTATGCATTGGGATAATACACCACAAAAATACAATACACACAGTGTTCAATAGAAAATCACTTTGTCGCAAATTATAGAAATAAAAATCACTGCGCAGTTTAAAGATCAATTCATAGCCGGATACTTTTTAATAAGATTAATTTCTAATTAGTTTGTGCAAAATCAAACTGGGGTATAAATGCTCAGACTTGCGAATGCAACGAGATACATTTGGTAAACTTAGGATCATTATCAATATTCAACTAAGCCTAAGCAGTAAGGAGTCGTCAGTACTCCCCCATCCTAGCGTGCCTGACCAGTAATCACAATAAGCTAGCTATGTGATGATCCAATGTGCTGTAACATAATCAAGTCACTTGTTAAGGAGCAATATTTTACGCTATTTAAAGCAATAGACGTTTGGAATTGTCTACACCTCGTATATTAATAGCTTCAGGAGACGAGGATGACAGTGATTTAACGCTTAAATGCTTCACAATATTTTCGCCGACTAATGTTGTTTCTAGTCCTACATGCTGTTTATGATAGACCATTGAATACCTTCATGATCATACCCGAGCCCCTAAGGTGTCAAGTGATATAGCGCAAACCTGGTTAATCAATTTATGTCTAGAGCGTAATAAGGTCCAGACAGAAAATAGTGTATTATTTATAAGGATAACATTATTACGTTTGGTCAATAGCGTGTCATTGCCTAACAGCTCTGATAGGAGGAGAGATGAGGATAAGGGGCATTCTCGAAATTCAAGTGTTGCGCTCTCCTTAACACATATCTTCACAACATCCCTGAAACATGTCACGACAGAATCGAGGCTCTTTACACGACACCTTGCGGATGATACAAGTAGATATGTCTTGTGTCTTTGATGACCATCACAGGAATCGCACGGCAGCGTAGGGGTATACACGACAGGCTCTGCAGCTGGGTTTACCTCTTCTGTAATCTTTGAAGGACAGGTATCAGTCTGGAGATTGTTAGAGTCCTGTTACCTGGAACCAATCATCAAATGGTTTCCCGCGAACACTCGATTTTGTTATGACCTACTCCAGGAGTGCAGACAAGAAATGTCTTTAGAGAGTGGAACCCATTCATTTCACAATGGAGAAGAATGGGATAGAAAAATGATATCAACACAACGTTATTGTTATATATTGTGTAGGTTGGGTCGATTGTCGGCGACCTTGTAACTCTTCTCCCGTCCAGTTCATTTTGTATACAATAAACAATACTGTAGGCACTTTAATTGTAATTTTAGCAAAATCAAAGATTAAAAAAAAAAGAGAGAAAAAAGTGCATTTTTTTGATTTTTTAAATATTATGATAAATACTAGGGCGAATAATATGGAATTGATGTATTTCTCTGTATTTTCATTCCAGATATCATCTAACCTCGGCCTAGGCTTCCGTCCATCTTTAAACTGACTGCAAAAAGACGCAAATACTACACTGTTCCTATTCTTCTTAGAGGGCGACTCCTTTGTCATCTTCGCTAAAGTTGGGAAATGACTTCCTGTGTTCCTACCCTGAAGGTGAAACCTGCAATTTTTGTTTGAGCTTAATCATATCGTGATAGGAAGAAGAGCATCGGTCCTTCAACCTTTGACCTTCAAAACAGCCACGGCGTTAACACGACAGCCGTTAAATACATCACGAATGGAACAATGGTTAGGACATTCTTATAGGCTGTATAATTCCATACCTTTTACCAAAGTTAATTCTTATGTTTATGTACGTCACTTCCGGTTTTATTGACATTCATCTGCAAACCTGGTTAATTCACACCAGCTAACACTTTAGAAATGCCAGTAGATGGTGAATCACATAACAATTGTGTAGTCATTCATTTGACGAAGTTTCCTCCGAACTTTTGCTGTTTCTTCACCTTGCTGACACTAAACATGTAGGCAGTTTCATATCTTATTTAATCCTAGTAAATGGACTTGGAAATTGAACACAACTGTCTTTTAAATCTACCAATGTATACTGATATATCGCAACAACTAAAATTGTCTTCGATCTGATGACAAGCTGACGTTACCAGGAGTGATGACGATCTTTCTACAAAGGTTCTTTCTGTACTATCCATAATTGTTTCTATAGATGAATGTTAGTAACACAGATGATGCATGATATGAAAGTTTAAACTGCAATTGCATTTATTTTTTATGTGTCTCAGGAAATCTAGCTGAGCTAGATACATAACTGTACGCCATTTTAATGTATATTTATTAAATCATATTTATTTTTCACTTCTGTGCTTCAGGCAAGCTCTTCTGTTCTGTCTTCGTGGCAAGTATAAAATAATAAAACTTTAATGTTTGTACTTTTAGATTGTCTTAAACATCTGTTCATCTTATTTTATTGAGGTCAATTCAAAGATTGGCGGTATCCTTTGACAGGAAATAAAGCAAACGAGGCAACCATGTTATGAATTTGGAGATTTTGATTACTGCAAGGAAAGGAAGCTTCGGCAGGTATAAACATCTTTTACCAGTGTCATTCCTGCATTGTTTTCAATGACAAGTAATATATACACTTTTCTTTAAATAAGAAAAATCGATGAAAAACAATTTTATGAATGAAATTAATTTACGACAAAAATTACTACTAAGCTGTCATTGAGCTGGCGTATGTCGGAGGCACGGTAGTCTAGTGGTAGGATGCCGGGCTCGTGACCGAAGGGTTGCGTGTTCGAGTCATGACACAGCACTGTGTTGTATCTTTGAGCAAGATACTTTACTCCGCTTGTTCCAGTCTACTCAGCGCTAGAATTGTTGAATGCTAGCTGTTAGCGCCGAAATGGCAGCTCCGGCTGTATGCTCCCCAGCGAGTTGAGAAAGAAATTGGCTGGTTGCAAAGGTAACCACAGATAATAGTTTGTGAACCGTTTTAAGACGACCTACGAACTAGGTTGTGATAGAGCGGTATATAAGAGCCTCGAATTAGTTATGAATTATCTATGTAGTCCTGCCCTAACGAAACAACTACATGCATTAAGTGAGACCATAGTTTGAAATTTATTGACTAACATTTGCCTGCAACAGATGCTCTTTTTTCTCTATTGATGTAGCTGACCAGAGACTTACCGGGATTAAATTGGTTGATGAATGGAAACATTAAATGTAGGTCGATTAAGAAATATAATACAAAAGATTATTTCCTGGCTGTAAAATAGGCTCAGCTATCATTAATAAAATCTTTTCTGGTTCAATGGAAACAGTTCGAACATAATCCGATTAACACATTAGCTGATTGATTAGATTAATAAATGATTTTTTTTTTATTGAAAGAAGTAACAACAATGAAAGCTATTTGTTGAATTATGTGAAAAGATAAATGTTATTTGACGTCTTTCTTCAAAAGCAGAAAAAAAAAAGAAAATCATCCAGAATCTCCTCGTGTTTTACCTGAAGGTATCGTCAAGTAAGATGACGTAGTTTCATTTGGCATGGATTCATAAATGACATCAGAAGAACACATTAAGTCTATTGCAAACTGTAAAGTAGCTTTAGATGAGGCCTAGACAAATAAAGCACTGTTAAGGAGCTTTAGATGAGGCCTAGACAAATAAAGCACTGTTAAGGAGTTTTAGTTGAGGCCTAGACAAATAAAGCACTGTTAAGGAGTTTTAGTTGAGGCCTAGACAAATAAAGCACTGTTAAGGAGTTTTAGTTGAGGCTCAGTGAAAGCTATGCTGGTTGTCAACAAGTTTAGTGGATACTCAATAACAAACATCAACACTCCTTACAGTAAAAATGTTATAAATCGTTATAAAAAGGTTGCAATAGGATTTTAATATGTCAACATCATCAGCTATTTATTTAATTTGACGATACATTTCTAGTTAGGGCAAGAAAAGTTTTGAAAAATTTGAAAAAAACATTTAAGACGTATAATCCAAACAGGCCTTTACATATAGATCACCCTGCAGAACTCGGGAGTGATATCTACGTTAAAAAACGGAGTGTATTAGAGGGTTAAATCTACAAATTTTGTCCCTCATTTCATTTCCCTTTATCTTGTGCACTTCAAACTGTTAATATACCTTAAAAAGGCTACATGACATCAATACAGTTAGTCCCCTTTTTGTACACGATGATAAATCATGGTTTAAGAAACACTTCGCTGTTTATGCGTTCTACGATGTGTTATTGGTAAAGATCAGACACAACAGTTTGGTTATCCCAGACCGGAAACGGATTTGTTTGCAGTAACACGTGCTTATCGGCGAAAAAGGAGCGCACTTGAGCGCCATATGGTGGACTACAGCCTTATCATGGTAATATTGAGTGACCATTGTCCGAAGTCACGCCGAGACCGATTCATAAGGAGAGTTCTGGTCGTCTGCACCGTAATCTGGCGTGGTTGATGTCATTCCACTTGACAATGCCAAAACCAACAAAAGTTAAGTGGTTGAGCAGAGAGCCATCGACACGGTCTCTCAACCAACCTAGAGTACAGTCAACCATCCCATTTATTCCTACGTGGTCAAATGCTGTAAAACATACTCTCTTTATTTTTACAGTATCTATATGGCCTACGACAAATGTTCAATAAAGATTTTCAGAAGTCCATTTGCTTCAAAAGTGGGTAATTGTATATGTTAATATTTGAGCATTTTAATTTCTTTTCCTGTCATTGGTTTGTTGATGTGATATGACAAATGTGTACTTAAAGAAAACGGAATTTAGAATTAAAGAATCGTGTTCACAATGGAACTCTAACAATGCTTGGGAATGAAATATCACTGAGTTTAACCCAGTGATAACATCACAGACAAGAGTAAATAAGCTTACATTACTTCATCTAACAAACGTTATTATTTTTGTGAAAAAAATGAAAATATTTCCAATATTCGACCTTTATATTTCAAAGTTGTATAAAGACATCGACAATATTTTACTTTCAATGTTGGAGTGAGGGATCGTGTCTGTGTTTTGCTACTCGTCCTTCAGTTTCTATCTCGCACACAATATAATTTCCATAGTTTAATCATGTTCATCTTGTATGTACAAACACATGTTTACTCAACTGAGCAAAAAAAAAAAAAATGTTAATTATTAATGATCACAAACAGCTTATCTATTGTCTCAGCGTATTTTAGTGATTCCGTTGTACTAGATATAACACTATAACACATTTCTATAAATATCTGCCAATGAAGCCAAAATGAATGTTAGGTTATGATTGAATACATTGTTGTTATGATGATATTTATATCGAAATAGATTTTACCAAGTGGATCCTATATGGAATTAAATCCTTTCAGATATTGTGAACACTATTTTTCACATAAAATGAGTCACGTATTTTTCTCTGAAATCCTTGAACCAACCATACTTTTGCGTTTCTCAAAAATATTTCTTGGTGAGGATTTGAACTTTCAAGTGAACAATAACATACATATTCACAGCTACCTTTTATATAATGCTCGAATTGGGAGGTGCATGATGATCACTCGCGAATCAACCCCGAACATGCAGGTATCGCGAAGTTGTTGAAGTCATTAAGATCATATTTAGTTTATCCACCAAAGACTATTACACACCATTACATGAACGACCAGGCATGGACAAAAATTTTAATGTCAATAAAAACATAAATAAATAAAAAATACAAAGTGTTCTATATATTATCAGTATAAGTAAGATAAAGAAATATCAAATCAGTAATTGCTTTATTTTATCACTGATTATTTTATTACGATTTTACAAGGGTTTACGGTCTCCCATCAAGGTAAAAGACATTTACATGACCTGCATTTTATTAATATTGCTCAGTTTTCGACAGGGAACGCTATGTTAGTTCGATTTGTCTATTCCTATGAGGTTTTCGGTGTATGGCGAAATCGATATTAACACAGAGAAGATATTCAATTTAGTGGTCCTACTTCTAACCCCACACTCCACCACATTAACTTGACAGTTTTTATTATATCCCATTCCAGCACAGGTGAGGAAGACTTAGACTTGGGTGTATAGCTATTAGCAAGTAAGGGATTAGGCAGTACAGCGTTAAATATAACACGTTGTATCAGTACACCTGTCCTTTTCATACACCCAGCTCCAGCTGGGGACGTATTACGACACCACATGTGGTGCCGGATACGCTTACCAGTTCGGTATAACTGATTACTTTGGAGAAGTTGTTTTAGAATATTTGGTGTAACGGGTTACCTGCTGTTATATTATTGTGTAGACCTTTTATTCGAATTCTATTTTGTTCTGATATAATTTGTTCTTTCTCACTCTTTGATAAGGATCGTTGTTCCACTAGGTAAAACACTGAAAAATGTCATTGTAGATTTCTGTATATACAGTAATCTTCTTTTAATTTCGATCCAGATATAACTGTTGTGTCAGTGCGGGGAATATCTGTAGTGTAATTGATGCGCGGAATAACTGTTGTGTTGGTGCGGGGAATAACTGTAGTGTAATTGATGCGGGGAATAACTGTAGTGTAACGACCAGGCATGGACAAAAATTTGTTGGTGCGGGAAATAACTATAGTGCAATTCGTGCGGGGAATAACTATAGTGTAATTGGTGCGGGGAATAACTGTAGTGTAATTGATGCGGGGAATAACTGTAGTGTAATTGGTGCGGGGAATAACTGTAATGTAATTGGTGAGGGGAATACCTGTAATGTAATTGTCTCGGGGAATAACTGTAGTGGTATTGGTCCGATGAATAACTGTTGTGTAATTGGTGCGGGAAATAACTGTGGTGTAACTGGTGAAGGGAATAACTGTAGTGTTATTGGTGCGGTGAATAACTGTAGTGTAACTGGTGTGGGGAATAACTGTGGTGTAATTGGTGCGGTGAATAACTGTAGTGTTATTGGTGCGGGGAATAACTGTAGTGTAATTGGTGCGGTGAATAACTGTGGTGTAATTGGTGAGGTGAATAACTGTGGTGTAATTGGTGCGGTGAATAACTGTAGTGTTATTGGTGCGGGGAATAACTGTAGTGTAATTGGTGCGGGGAATAACTGTAGTGTAATTGGTGCGGGGAATAACTGTAGTGTAATTGGTGCGGTGAATAGCTGTGGTGTAATTGGTGAGGTGAATAACTGTGGTGTAATTGGTGCGGGGAATAACTGTAGTGTAATTGGTGCGGTGAATAACTGTGGTATAATTGGTGAGGTGAATAACTGTGGTGTAATTGGTGCGGTGCATAACTGTAGTGTTATTGGTGCGGGGAATAACTGTGGTGTAATTGGTGCGGGGAATAACTGTAGTGTAATTGGTGCGGTGAATAACTGTGGTATAATTGGTGAGGTGAATAACTGTGGTGTAATTGGTGCGGGGAATAACTGTAGTGTTATTGGT